CTTCCCTTTTTAAAGCTGAAGTATCTTCTACCTTTTTGTTTTGCTTTAGTGAGGTTCGGCAGTACAGCTAATATTTTTTGTCCTGGATGTCGATTTTTCTTGTTTGGTACCGGAGCTTGTGAAAACATAATTTTTCGTAGTTTTATAATTGATATATGGCGTATTTGGCTTTTCAAGATCATACTGTTCCCCTGCTTTTTCTTGCTTTTTGGTTCCGGTGAGCTGTTTTGCAGCACTCGTTTCTTTTTCGACGGGGTTCAACTTGCCTATTTGAGTTATGAGGAAGTCCTCACTAGGTGAGTCATTCTTGGCGCGCGCGTCGAGAGGTTCTTTTTTAGTTGTTTGCTTGTATATCTCGTTCTTGTAATCCGTTTCAGCATTTTCCAGGACATTTAGCTGATTCTGCAGGTTTTCCACCGTGCGCTGTAAATCTGCAATTCTGTTTTCTGCAAAGGTTCTTTTGCTATTGGCTTCATCCAGACTCGCTTGAAGCAGAACAATCTGATGCTGTCTCTCCGTAATCTCACGCTCCCACTGATTGTTCCTATCTGTAATTGTTGCCACCACCGATTGCATTTTTTCCATCGAGCAGCGAGAGTCTTTTAACAAGGCCTGTAGATCCTCATTTCTTCTTATGAGATCCTCCATTTTCTCGTCATACGAAGAAGCAACAAGCTTATCCTGACAGAGTGGCGTTTGAAGTGAAACGGTCTTTTGGTATTCGGTATCAGGTGGCGCCATTATGTTCTGCCATGTGCAGAGAGATCTTGTCAGGGAAAATTGGTACAATGATATGAGTTCATCAATAGCCTCTGAACGACGGTCTGCGCTGTGTGTCACGCTGAACTCGGCTTGAAGCCTTCCGTGCGAGCACGTAACTCCAGAGACACATTCTGCATGGGCTCCACAACAGGCAATCACATCGGAAGTGAGTGCTCGCAGAAGCTCCTGGGGGTAGTTACTCAAAATATCTTCCCAGACGTCACCGTCAAGGGAAATTTGATGAATCGTTGACACATTGGATGTGCCATGCTCAAGCCATTTGGCGGAAAGCGTGGCAATTATTGAATAAAGGTGAGCCACCTCACACCGGGCCCTAACAAGCTCTCCCTCGTGTGCGTCACTGAGAGTCCTCAAAGCGTCATTTTCCTTTTAAACTCAGCGTTTATGTTACG